AGCCTCCCGCCAGCCCCAAGCCCCACCAAGACCGCCCCCGCCCCTCGTCACGCCGCCCGCGCGCCCCGGCGCTCGCCCCAACCCCACCTGCCCGCCGATGCGCGCCGCGCCGAGACGCGACGGCGCGCGCTGCACGCGCGTGCGCACAAGCACATGCGCGCCCTTGAAAGCTCATCCCTCAGCCCCGCCCCGGCGTCGCGAAGCATCTCCCCCCCTACAGATTGCGTACATGTGCGCAGGCGAGCAGAGCGGCGTCGCAAGGCTCGCCGCACCCCCAAAGAGCGACCGCGCTGCAATTCAGCGCGAGCACGACCAGGCAGAGCTTCCAGGGTAGTGCATCATGATTTCCGGACACTTTCGAATCGTACTCTACTACACGCACAGATTGCATCTCCCCCCTGATGATCTCCCAACATCACTGCACACTCGTCAGGCGTGCCGCGACGCCGTGCGGGGCAACGACGCCGTGACTCAGGCCGACCTTGCCGCCGACATCGCCGCCCATGACCGTCTTCGCGCCGAGAATCCCGATGCGGCGCGCATCAGAGGCCCAAATGGCACGTTCAAAATCAAGGGGGGCGCGCGTACGCTGCAGGAGTACGCGGTCGCGCACGCGCAGTTGGGCATTAGCCGCAGGATTGATCCGGAAGTGGGGCTGCAGGGCTACCGGAAGGCCCTCCTCAAGGCCATGAAGGAGCACGGCCTTGGGCTCTGAGAAGACCGCCGCGCTGACTGATGAGACACTGGCCCCAGGGCGATACGCTTGACGCGAGTCCGCCTCCGTGTAGCCGCTCTTGAGAGATGAGACTGCAGAGTCGGGGCAGTCTCCGCTCGGCAGTGAGAGTGACTCGGTGACTGTCTGTGCTGTCTACCGCAGCAAAACTGGCCCCAGGTTTTTGGGCTTCGGTTTCGTCGCCAAGCATATAGCCGGTTGCGGCACCTTCAGAAAAATCGAGCGCAAAAAAATCGTCTCGTCTCGTATAGGGTCGCGTCTCGTCTCGTATCGTCTCGTATCGGTTTCTCGATGTCCGACTGGGCGGAGGAGCTGGCGGCAGCCCGCCGCCCCGTGCTTGAGGCGGCCGCCGCGTTCTGGGGTGATCAGTCGCGGGTCGCCATCGCCGGCAAGATCCACGAGCTCTCGGGTCGCCATCGCCGGCAAGATATCGGGAGATGTCGTGAGATATGGGGAGATGTAGATCGCGCCTCGAGCAGCCGAGCTGCATTATAGAGAGATGGGGATACATGGGGAGATGTGGTAACATGTCTCCCGCCCCGCGAGCGGCAGAGTTCCATGTCACATGGGGAGATATGGGGAGATATGGTGAGAGGATGTGGCTCTGCCTTCGCGACTGCTGACTGGGGGCGATTTCCAAGGATCCAGGAGCGCAGTATCCACACTACATTAGGTGCTCACCTCAACACCTTGGGTGCAGTCCCTCTGACCCTACCCCCGGTGCCGGTGTGGGCGCTGGCCGGCACACTTAGGTAGAGGTACAGTAAGGTACAGACATGGGCCACTTACCTAAGGTGGAGGTATAGGACACCGCGCGCTACGTGAAACGGCTGGAGGCGAACATAGCCTGGCGCGGAGTGCGTCTGGAGTGCCACTGCGTACTGCCCTCCGCGGAGTTACTCCAGCCGCGCCTGGAGTTGACACACTGCCCTGCCACTACGCAGACACTCCGGACTCCGCGCACTGCCACTGCGCACTGGCACGTGGCCGTGGGGTTACGGTGTCGGTGAAACGTGCTGAAAGCTCCCTCCGTCTCGCCGGGTGGCTGAATGGTACCGCACAGTCTAGCGCCCCACGCAAGGCCTAGCGAGGGCGGAAGGCGTCCTAGCGCCTCGAGGCGGGCGCGTCGGAGCCGACACCGCTCTGCTTAAACTCAGCAATACGACGCTCGAGGAGCTCGGCGAGGCCACCAATGGTGTCAACCTGATGGGCGGGGTTTGGGGGAGGTTGCGGCGCGAGCGAGGAATTCACAAGGGTGGGGGCGTAAGGGGAACGGGGCGGGGGAGAAGGGAGGTACAGAAGTATACGGTGGGGTGGGGAGGGGCGTCGTCAACCTCGATCAAGTTCGCCACCGAGATTGTCACGCCCGGAACGGCGGCTTGTAGGCGGCTGACGACGACAGGGCCAGCGACGGAGGCGAGACCGCACTCGGCGAGCGTCCAGTCGGCCTCGACGGCTGTGGGTGTGGGTGGGTGGGGAAGGGCGTGAGGAGGGCGTGAAGGGGGGGCGTGGCCTTGTGATCGATCACAAGGCCATTCGTCGGAAGTGGGGGTCGCACAGAGAAGCATACTACGTATTAAGTGTTTTCTCAGCAGGGGTGTGGGCCTGCTCCCGTCAGTTGTTCGACGACGCTGAGCACCACTTCGATCGGGGTGAGAACTCGGTCGCCGCCGGTGTGCTTGAAGCAGAGCGACTTGAGGCGCGTGCGGCCCGCCTCCCACTTCGAGATCAAGTACGGGTCGAGCTTGGCCATCAGCATGCTGAAGAAGGTCGTGAGGATGACGACAAAAAAGTACTCCCACCATGCGACTGGAACCGGCTGCGGCGAGAACCAGAAGAAGGGCTTGCGGTAGCGCCAGTACGACCACCACTGCTGCCGCGTGATGAGGAAGTACATCTGCCCGACCCACTGGTGGAAGAGGTAGAGATTGTACGAGACGGGGGCGAGGGTGTTCACGAAGATTGACTTGGAGAAGAGCGCCGCCGTGAAGCCCTTGCCAACAGCAAGGCCGTAGAGCCACAGAACCATGACGGGCATGAGGAAGCGCGACCAAATACCGGCGACGGAGCGAATGCCAAGGTTGTCGTTCTCCGCGTTGATGAGAGACGAGTCCAGACCGCGGTCGTCGATGGCGATGGCCCACGCATCAGGGTCGACGATCGCGCAGAGCAACCCCTCCTTGTAGGCGAGGGAGGGGGTGAGAAGTGAGGGGTGTTTGCGAGAAGTTAGGGGTGAGGGTAGAGGGGAGATGTTTGGGGAGGGGAGCGACCAGCGCGCCTTTTGGACGCACGATGCGAGCAGCGGGTAGAGGATGTAGCCCGTGAGGACGAGGCAGAATGATAGGCAATCCGTGATTATGCCCCACATCCACGCATGGTGCGACTCGTACGGCCTGGTGTGGGAGGAAGATGAGTGGAAAGGAGAGGGAGGCTTGGAGGGGGGGAGGGGGGGAGGGGGGGCCTGTAGTAGTCGAAGAGGAAGGCGGCGCATGTGCCGAGTGCAAACGAGGGCCACCAGAAGGCCGGAAAGAGGTAGTACATGAGCGAGAACTGCCCCGTCCACTCGGCCGCGTCGTCGGCGCTCCCGAGCAAGCCGTCGACGATGGCGCGGTCCTCGGAGATGATGGCGCGGTCCTTGTACCAGCCGATGAACCATCCGGCAACGACGCAGAGATTGAGCAGGACGATGATGCCGGTGACAGCCCAGATGAGTCGGATGCGACCACGGATGGTAATCATCCGCGAGTAGAAGAATGGGTGTGACGAGACCATCGCGTAGTAGACGGACGAGAACCACGTGTAGTACGAGAGGAACCACGAGAAGAGGTAGATGGGCCACGACTGAATGCCGAGCACGTAGATGACGATCGTCGCGAAGAGGGAGCCCCACCAGGAGGAGAGCAGTGGGGCGGGCTCGCAGAAGTCGCCCCGCGACGCGTCAGTCCATTGGGCATGCCAGTGGAAAGCAGGGTCATAGTTGGCCGGGTTGCACATGGCGACCTAAGAGAGGTTTGGAGTCCGATTGGAATTGAGGTTGCCACTACAGCAACACTACTCGTATGGCGACCTGGTTGATGAGCAGCAGGCCAATCGAGACGAGGTACATCGGGTACATGGGCGAGAGGCGCGCAGCGATGAACCCAAGTTTCGACCGCGGCGCCGGTCCCATGTTCGCGGCCAAGCTGAAGCCAGCGAGTGCAAAGAAGGTGGGCACGTGGATGCACATGAAGCGGGCCTGCCCAAAGGCGCCCCATGTCTCGTAGTCACCGACCCCGTCCATGTTTGTGCCGTCCGCTGGCGCTTGCAAGCCAACATGGTTGAAGACAACCTGACAGGCGAGAACGAAGCGCACACCCTCGACGGAGCGGCTCACCGTTGGCGGACCCCGCTTCGCTGGCGCGGCCAGCTGCTCCTCGAGGTTGTGAGGCATGATGTCGAGCTTCTCGGCAAGGCCATTACGGATAGGCTTGTTGGTCTTCGTCTTTGGCAACTCCTCCCACTCGATGGCCTTCGCCACAGACGGCCACTTGTTTGGCGCGAGGCCACACGCGCGGCACGCGACGCGCAGCTCCTTGAGCAGCAGCCGCTCATCCGAGGCGACCTCCGGTGGCGCCGTCGGCTCGAGGATGACGACGCAGCCCACCTCCTCGCCCCAAGACGGCGATGGCACCGCAAAGACCACAGGCATGCGCACCCACGGCAGCGCCTGGGGGGGGGGGGGGGGGAGTGATTCGGGTGCCGTGTCATGAGCGGCGCGTGCACGTGAGTGGACAGGCCTTCTTGATCGCGTCTTCGAGCTCGTAGGGCGAGACCTGCTCGCCTCCTCGTTTGATGAGCTCCTTGGAGCGCCCCTTTATGGTGAGGTGGCCGTCGGCGTCGAGCAGTCCGACATCGCCCGTGAGGAAGAAGCGGTCGGCGTCGGAATCGGCGGCGCCGTCTGCGCATGAGAGAAGGAAGAAGTTTTCCATGTCCGCCTTTGGGTTGTTGAGGTAGTTGCGCATCACCGTCGGCCCTGAGATGGCGATGATCCCGGGGATGCCGTGCGGCTGTGGCGCGAGGGTCGCTGGGTCCACGATGGCCATGGAAGCGGCGCAAGCGATGCCGACGGAGCCGTTCTTCTCGTTGAGCTGGTCGAGGCCAGCGTTTGGCTGCGAGATCGGCATTTGCTCGGACATCGAGTAGGTGCCGTGAATTGGGATCCCGCCGTAGCAGTTGGACAACGCCTGGCCGTCGGTTGGTGTGAGCGCGGCTGCTCCGGAGCGGATGAAACGGAGCGAATGCTGCGGCTCGACGATCTTATTGTCCTTGAGGTAGTTTACGACGGCCAGGTGGATCGTCGGCACGGCTGAGTACCAGGTCGGCTGCGGACTCGTGCCCAGCGCTGCGTAGAAGGTGGCCGCGGAGAACGAGTCGAGGCACGTGCAGCTGCCGCCGGCGGCAAGCGACGCGAGGATCGAGGCGGAAAGGCCGCCGATGTGGAAGAGTGGCATCGCGTTGAGGCAGATGTCGGCGGGCCCGATCTCGATTGTTGCAGAGAGAAGCAACGCATTGCGCACCACGGAGTTCTGCTGCAGCGGCACACCCTTTGGCTTGGAGGTGGTGCCGGACGTGCGCAGCAGCAACGCGATGTCGTCTCCGCGTGTCGCGAGAGGCGTCAGTGACGGAGTGGTGCTGCTGCTGGGGACGAGCTTGAAGAGGCCGGGTCCGGCGGTGGCGTTCGCCACAGCGTGGTGCACCTGGATGCGGACGCCGCCGCCCGCCTGCTCTACGGCGGCAAGGACGGCCTCATGCGGCGCGCCGTCGAAGAGTAGGACGTGCGCCGCTCCGAACTGCTCGAGGGCGTCGAGGGCGTCTGCCTGTGCGATCGTCGGCTCGAGGGGCGCCGCGGTTGCCTGCGCCGCAACGACAAGGAACGCGACTGCCGCAATTGCACCGCCCGGGGCGATGTAGACGACCGTCTCGCCGGGATTGACGCCGAGGGCGGCAAGGTCGCCGCCACCGCCTGTCATGGGCACGGCATGGGCGCGGTGGCGCAGTCGGAACCGACGTGCGCCACAGATGCGCCAAGACGAGCTCTAGCCGATATCTAGCCGGGTCACCCGGTGCGAGGAAGCCGAGCAGCTGGCCGTAGCTGAGCGAGCGCGACGGGTCGGCTGCCTCACGGAGGCAAGGCCGGTCCGCAGGCTGGGCGGCGAGCAAGTCACGAATCGTCTGCGGCGCCACACCCAAAGCACGCCCGTGGGAGACGCGAACGAGTTGCTGCGCCTCTGACACCGCTACGGAGGTGAGCCTCGAAATCTGCCTCGTCACTAGCGCCTCTGGCGGTGACGGCCGGATGACGTAGTGAGCCTCCGAACGGTTGCCGTTCTCCTCAAGGACGGCAAGCAAAGCCCTGGCGCCAGGAGGCCGCACGTACTCAGCAGGGAGCGTGGGCAGCTTCGAGCTCCGCCCGCCGCTGGCGCTGCCGCTCCTCTTCGTCGTGTTGTGTTCGTCGAGGGCGGCGGCGAAGTGCGACATGAGGCGGTGGTGAAGAATCTCATTCGTTGTCAGCTCGCGGGGCAGCTCGTGACCCGACGGGTGGTAGAGCACCAGCCGCCTCTGCGATTTGAGGGAGGGGCTCGGTAAGCCTCATTAACTCGCGGCCAAATCTCGGTCATATCTCGGCTACAATGGTGGGTTGGGCAGCTCAGGAATCGGCGGCCTCACCGCCCCACTCTCGAAGGTGAGCGTAGACTCTTCGGAGAGGGCTTTGAACTCGTCGGCGAGGCCGATTACGTGCACCGAGTGCGCTGCGATCGCACCCGTGGGCGGTGATGGCGGGAGGTCGAGGCCGCGACGGATGTGCGCGGTGGTGGTCGAGTGCGCGAGCAGGGCAAAGTTAAGCAGACTCTCGTTCTCCAAGCTTTCGACCGCGTTGATCATCTTCTCGAGGTGTCGCGCGGGGAGGCGATGCACCGTCGAGAACTCGAAGAGCGATCGCTCCCGCTTTGATGTCATCTCCTCCTCGACAGCCCCCATGGGTGGAGGCGACTGCATCGACTCCGCCTCGGCATGGCGAATGGGCGGAGGCGACTGCAACGAGGGGGAACGCATCGACCGCATCGATCGCATCGACCCCATCGCCTGCATCGACCGCATCGAGGGCACCCGCCTCCGGATGGATGCCTCTGGTCCGATGCTCCGGATGGATGCCTCTGGTCCGATGCCAGCCATCTTGGCTCGATCCTTGGCGCTGCTGTGCACGAGCGAGAGCACATCGGGCTGAAGGCAAGCGCAGAGCACCGCTGCGCCCTGCGAGAAGCCGAAGACGCCATCGACCTCGTGCTGCACGATCGCAGCGACGACGTGCAAGAGCATGCTCAGCATCTCCTCGCGGCTGGTCGACTCGTCGTACCAGCGGAAGACGGGCTCGTCGACCGGCACCTGGAGGCGAGCCGCTGGAGGCTTACTCGTGAGAGGCGCTTTCAGGTAGATGATCTCAAAGTGCTCCGTATCGATGCCGAGGTTCTTCAGCTGCCGCCGCGTGATGCTGTTGTTTGAGTCGGCGCCATGGAGCGCGAGCATCCGCGGCTTACGCGTGGTCGTCGAGCTGTAGGATGCGATCCCGCGGTAGGAGGAGGCGTGCTTGGGCATGGCCGTGAGTTGGTCGGGCCGCTGCATGAAACGCCTCCAGCGCGACACCCGAGAGTCGCTGTCGTTATTGACCACTGCGATCCGGGGCAGAGTTGCGGTCGCCCCGAGCACAACGTCCGACAGTCTCTCCTCTGCGATCCGGGGCAGAGTTGCGGTCGCCCCGAGCACAACGTCCGACAGTCTCTGCAAGCCGCCCGCCACACGCGGGTGGGCGTCCGACCATTCCACGAAGGCTTTGGCGACACTCTTTGTCTCCTCCGACACCCGTTTGTGGAGTAGCATGGCGAGACCGATCAGCAGGCACGCCGCGATTATGCCGAGCACGATGAAGCCAATCTGGACACTGCGTACCCCGCGCGAGTCACACAGACCTGCGCTCGGCGTCGGCACCTCCGACGGCGGGCCTGAGAGGGTCCCCAAGTCGGCAACCACGGCGGAGCTGTTACTCTGGATGATGATCTGGATCGAGCCGCCGCGCAGTGCCGCCTCACTCAGAGTCGAACCGTCGACCGAGTGGCTCAAGCGTGAGTACTGTCTGAGCTCGTATGAACCGCCCGCGCCGAGAAAAGCAACGCGCACGAGGCCATCGCCGATCGAGAGGGTGCCGTTCGGCGACGTTTCCGCGAAAAGGAGCGTGCCCCGGACCGCAACGCCGACGCTTGCCTGCGCGGCGACCAGCAGCCCGCCCTTGACACCCGCGTTGGGCTGCGGCGGCACGGGCTGAACGAGAGCAACGATCGGATCCACGGTGCCACAGGCGAGGGTCGTGCCAAGTTCCGATGCGACGACGATAACGCGCCCTGCCATGTGGCTCAATGCGACAGCCAAGGATGCGCTGACGAAAGCGTTGCCAAAAGCGTCCGTTGCCACAGGCAGCGTCTCGAAGGGGTCGCCTGTCTGGATGGTGCGCGGGTCGGGCACATCCGTCGGCGGGTACAGCATACTTAGAACCGGGTCAGCGCCCGGGCACTCGAACCCGGTCTGCAGGCGGAGAGAGAGCCTGGAGGAGGGCGGTAGGCCAGTCAAAGTTGCGGTTAGCTGCAGCTGCGCCGCGCCGGTCGCCTTGATATGGACGAGCGCATGGACCGCTTCGTCGACCGTGCTCTCGGCTGCGAGCGAGTATCGGGTGAGCCGACCGAGCGCATCCGTCACGCCAGGTGCGTAGCCTGCGATGGTGCCGCAGCCGAGGTAGACGCCTGCGCGGCCGTGAAAGATCATTTGGCGGCCAGCGAAGGTTGGCGGCATTCGGGCGCCGCACGAGGCGCCGTCTTCGACGCCGGACATCTCACGGCTCAGCGCTGAGATGAGATCGGGCGAGTCGAGGACGAAGGTCCACGAGAGGAGCGCGGTGCCGCGCTTGTCCGACTTGTAGCTGCCGTATGTCCACCCATCTCCGCCGCGCACCGTGGCGCGTGCCGTGCGGTAGCCCGCGTAGATTCCTTCGTAGAAGCGGAGGTCTTCGACTGCTCCAAGGCAGTTGAACCCGCGGTGGAAATGCCACATGCCGTGGAAATGGGGCTCGAGGCCGACGATCACGCCGCGCACGGTCAGCTGCGCCGCCGTCCGCGTTAGCAAGACGAGGCCACGGGCAGTGCGATCGGCGAACTGCGCCGGTATTCTGCCGACCAGCACCATTTGTGTGTACGGCTCCCTAACAAACGGCGAGCAGAAGCGGCGTGCAGCGTCGTCTGCTTGGTACATGACGACGAAGTATCCTCGCTCCGCGAGTGCCTGCGCGTCAGACACTGCCTGGGTCATCTCGAAAATGGCGGAGCCGTCGGTCTCGACGGGGATCGACGGGACGCTGCGTTCTGCGGGGTACTCGTCATCGCACGAAGACACGAGGCCGGCCTGGAAGGTGCTGCCTGGCGTCAGTCCCGACAGGACGCCGTAAACCAACACCGCCGCATCGCGTGCCTGTGCCGCGACAATCCCCGATGCTAGGTGTCCAATGCCCGATGCCCAAGGATAGCCGAGAAGGGCATGGGAGAAGGCGGCGTTGGCGGAGAAGGAGGCGAGCAGCGCAGGCGGCGAAGAAGGCGGAGGCGGAACTGTGTTGTACAATCGATCGGGCGGCGGTGGTGCGTGGGTGGGAAGGGCGGCGATGGGGCAGAGGAGCACAGCTGCGAGTAGTGCACGTGAAGAACTGCGGCACGTCGAGCTTAGTCTGGTACGTAACAGCAAGGCGGTGGCGAGGAGGACGAGGGCGAGTGCGGGCACGTTGGCGGCGAGCAGCTCACAAGCGTCCCCTGACTCGCTGGTCGCGCACGGGCACTCGTTCATGATGCACGCCTCCTTGTGGGCCGCCTCCGCGCACGCGTCGCTGCCGAGCGGCGCGGAGGCGTTCGGCACGTGATGTGCGCTCGATCCGGCCGCGCCGTAGCCCGCGAGTTCGACGCTCACCATCTTCTCCACACGGTCGCCTCCGCGGCAGCCATCAAAGGCGGAACTGGTCTTGCGCGGCCCGCCGAGGCTGCCGCGGTTGAAGATCGTGCGCTGGAAGTCGGCCGGGATGCCCAGCATGTCGCGGATGGCGCCGCACGCTGGCTGGGAGGTGTCCTCAGCCGCCGTCTCAAAGCCGCGCAGCGCCGAGCGCGCCGCCTCCGTCGAGCGCCCGTCGTGGTCGATGCAGGCGTGCTTGATCGAGTCCGAGCCGAGGGCGTCGCCCGTGCGAGTCGGGCCGCTCTCGGCGGACGCGAGCCCCGCAAGCAGGCCGAGCAGAAGCAGGCGCACACACAGGTGCACACAGGTCCACATTGGTCAACTTGCAGAGGGGGTACGACGGAAGGCTCCCCCCCGGGTTTCTTGCCGTCGTACCTGGGCTGTTCCGAGAGAGAGAGAGAGAGAGAGAGAGAGAGAGAGATTCTTTTTTTCGCCGAAACAGTGATGGCAGGTGTCTCTCTCGGAGCGCCTCCTTTGAGCCCGGCCGATGAAGGGTCCGATGGCACAAACGGGGTGTACGAGGCGATCGAGGATGAGCCAATTACCGGGGACAACACGAACAATGGGGTGGAGACAGGTCGTGGGGACCAGGCAACAAAATCAGCGCCTAAATACCAGTGGAGTTCAGCGAGGACTGCAGGAGAGGTGGAGTCAAAGGGGCGAGGAGGGTTGGCACAGGAGATTCATCAATGGTTTATGGATGGAGAGGTGGAGATACCAAAAGGCTTTGAGCAGTGCAGCGGGCAGCGGGCAGCGGGCAGCGGGCAGCGGGCTGCGGGCTGCGGGCTGCGGGCTGCGGGCTGCGGGCTGCGGGCTGAGGGCAGTGAGGGGCGTGGGGCGTGGCGTGAGCGCGCGTGGAGGGAGGAATTGACAGATGCAACAAACGGGGTTCGAACGAGGAGCCAGCTGGTGGTGGAGTGGTCAACCCACCCACTATGCCAGCCAGGGGCCTCTGCTGTTGGACGTAGACTTTCGGGCGTACATATCAGTAATAATCCGAGTGGAAGCTCAAAATGGGAGTGGAGAGGAGAGTCGCCCCCACCCTCACCCCCAGATGGTGGAGACGTGCTGCATCATTTCAACAACAAGGACCTGGCGAAGCATGGAGATGGCGGACAACGAAAGCAGACTCTTTATACGTTGCTCAAAGGGAACTCTGTTCCATACAGGATCTTGGATGCGGTGTGCCGTGAGGTCCGAATGTGGGAAGTGATGAAGCTAGACGCAAAGGCCAAGCGCGTGGATGCGCTGGTCGCGCATCTGTTCACCGAGGCGAGCTGCTGGGACACATCCACGTGTGAGTTTTGCCAGGACCTGCGGGAGGAGGCGGCCGAGGGGCGAAGGCTAAAGTGCGATCGCCGCGATCGCCAGCCGAAGCAGCCGCTACAGCAGCCGCCGCTGTCGCCGCAGTTGCAGCAGCAGATGGAGGACGATGCATGCAGTAGCAGCGGCAGCAGCAGTGCCTGCAGCAGCGGCGGCGGCGGCAGCAGCAGCAGCAGTGACAGCAGCAGCAGCAGCGGCAGCAGCGTTACGGACGATGATGCGGCTGCGGCTGGGAGAGACGAGGAGCACGGCGAGGAGGCTGAGGCCGCGTCAACATTTCCTGCGGGGGCTGCCTCCGGTAGAGTGACCGCTTCCGCAGGCGGCGTTGCCGCTGCGCCGGCTGCGACGCCGGCGGAGAGGCAAGGACTGGCGGCTAGCCTCGCGGCGGGCCTAGCAGCTCTTAAGCAGCGTCCACCGACGCTTCCGCCGCCGTCGACAGACACGCGGGAGTGTGCCAGCAGAGGCGGCAGTGGAGGTGGTTGCAGCGGGTTCGGAGGTGGAGATGGTGGCAGCACGGGCGGAGGCCGGGACGGGGAGTGGAGCTGCCCTTGGCGCGGCGAGTGGGGCGCGCGTGGCGGCGACGGTGGCGATGGTGGTCGCGGCGACCGGGAAGGCCGGGCCGGAGGGCCGAGATACCGTAGCGGAGGAAGTTGGAGCGGAAGCATCCCGGAGCCGAGTCGTTTCGGCCGTGAGGGTGGGCATCCGCCGCTGCCACAGCAGCCACAGCAGCAGCCGCCGCCGCCGCCGCCGCCACGCCCTGGCGGTCTGCGCAGCCTAGGTAAAAGGTCGCGCTCCCTATCGAGCTTCTCGATGCAACCCGGGCTGCTACCGCCACCGAGGCTTGATGGTCGCCCCCCGCCTCCGCCTCCCGAAGCCGGGCAGCACCAGCAGTTCTCCGTTCAAGACTCCGTTCGCCCGGGCGATTGCTTTCGCTTGGGCGATTGGATCTGCAACTCGTGCAACAACCACAACTATTCTAGCAGGATGGCGTGCAACCGCTGCAAGCAGCCAAAGAGCGGAGGTAACGGCGGAGGCAAGGGGAGAGGCAAGGGCGGGCCCGGCGGGGGCAGGGGCAGTGGAACGGCAGGCGGTTCTGGACCACTTTTTTGGCCTTGATCGTCTGTGACACTGTGACTGTTGCAACTGTGTGACGACAGACACTGTCGAGACCGGAGTCAGGACTCAGTGTCTGCTGTCTCCTGCTCCACACGCGTCAAAGCAGCAGGGGCTGGCAGCACCGGCGCCGCCGAGTCCCCGAGACGCGAGAGATCGCGAGGTCGAGGGTCGGTCGTATCGCGAGGGACCGTTGTTGTCTGTTTTATACGCTTGCTCTTCTCACTACGGGTTGTACGCAAACTCGGCAAACACGGAGCGCACGCGCGGCGGCGGGTGGGGGCCTGGCGCAGCGGCGGGTCCGGCGCCATCTTTGGGGCCAAGTGGGAGCGGCAGAGGCAGCGGCAAGGAGGGGTTGAGAGCCGCGGCGACAGCAGCGGAGGGGGCGGAGATGAAAGCCGCGGAGGCGGCGGCGGCGGAAGCGGCGGCCGCGGAGGAGGGTGCGGCGGCGGGGGCGGCGTTGGCTGCGGTGGCGGAAAGGGCGGGTGCGGAAGAAGGGGTGGCGGCGACGGGTGCGGCACTTGGCGCCAGCGCGGCGCGCGGCCGCTTCTTGTCGAGCTTCTTCGCGGCGGGACGCGGCGGGCGGCGGCGGCGGGAGGAGAGCGGTCGCTCGTCCTCCTCCGACGAGTCTCCTATTCACAGGCCGTTGGTGAGAGGAGCCGCCGAATGCCGCGGCCGCCCGGAGGTCGGACCAGGAGACGCCTCCGCCGGAAGCGGTGGAGAGAACGGCGGCGGCGGCAGAGGAAGAATAGGGGGAGGCGGAGGAGGCGGCGGCGGAGGCGGCGGAGGCGGCGGAGGCGGCGGAGGCGGCGGAGGAAACGGGGACTGCGGCGGAAGTGGCGGCGGCGGAGGCGGAGGCGGACGGTCTCAGTGGCGGTGGCAGCCTGGGAGCGAAATCGTCGTCGTCGCCACCGCCTCGCACCGCCGCCGCCTTCGCGCCCGCCATCGGCTTCCGATCGCCGCGAGCTTCCCGCGACGTCCTCGCCCGCGCAGCCCTCGCGGCGAGCGGCCTGCCCTCCTCCTCGTCCTCGCCCTCGTCCTCCTCGTCGTCGCTCGACATGTCCTCCGCCAGCATCGAGAGCGGCGGCGCCAGGGGCATCCCAAGCCACGAGGCGCCTCGCTCGCGCTTGAAGAGCATCAGCTTCTTGAGCGGGTGGGCATACAGCCACCCTCGCGACTTGTCCTCCTCCGCTGGGCACCACTCGCGCGCCTCCGCCAGCAGTTGGACCAAATCGTCACTCAAGCGGAGCGGGCGGCCGGCGGCGAGAGGTGGCTTCGCGGCCTTCGGGAACGGCACGCCGTCACCGCGCACGAGCGAGCGGACGGCGCGCATGGTGCGCTTCTGGTTCGTGCCAGAAACGCCCTCCGCCGCCAAATACTCCTCCATCTCTTGCAGCCAGCCAACCTCCTCCGCCTCCTCCGCCTCCTCCGCCGCCTCCGCCGCCTCCGCCGCCTCCGCCGCCTCCGCCGCCTCCTCCGCCTCCGCCGCCTCCACCCGCTCCGCCGCCGCCTCTGCCCTCGGCGCCGGCACCGCCGCCGCTGCGTGCTGCACCTGCTGTCCCTGATGCCCTAGAGATGGCTGCAGCCGCGGCGGAAGTGGTTGCACCGACGGCGGCCGCTGCTGCTGCTGCTGCTGCCACTGCTGCTGCGGCGGCGGCAGGGGAAACGCCGGCTGCTGCGGCGACGCCATCGCAAGAGGAAAAGCCTGACCCAAAGGGAAAGACGGAGGGGGCGGCTGGTGCGGCGGCGGCTGCGGCTGCGGCTGCGCTTGCGGTCGCGGCAGCTGCGGGGGCGGCCGCGAGTTCCATGCTTTCTGCCAACGCTGTTGTTGATGTTGCTGCTGCCACTGCTGCCCCTGCTGCTGCTGCTGCTGCTGCTGCCGCGGCGGCGGCGGCAGGGGAAGCGCCGGTTGCTGTGGCGACTGCCACCGCTGCTGCTGCTGCTGCGGCTGGGGGCGCGTCGCAGGACTCGCCTGGTGCTTCGGCGCGTACGGCTGCTGCTGCTGCTGCCGCAGCAGCAGCTGCTGCGGCTGTTGCTGTTGCTGCGGCGGCGGCGGCTGCTGGAGCGGCGGCTGAGGCAGCCTCCCGCTGTAGTTTGGCGGCGGTGCGTGCGACTGCTGTCCCGCGCCGTTTGCGTGAGGCGGCGGGCGGTGCCAAGGCTCGCTGCCTGCTGCGCGGTGCTGCAGCGGGTGCTGGAGCGGCGTGAGGTTGGCGGGAGGCGGCCCGGTGGAGCAAGAGACGCTTGGCTGCGGTGACCGCTGGTGAGGTGGCGGACGCGGCGATTGATTGTGCGGATGCAGGCGGCCACCCGCAGACCCGCAGCGAGGCGGATCAGCACGCCTGTGGGGCGGCTGCTGGTGCGGCGGCGGCGGCTGCTGGTGCGGCGGCGGCGGCGGCGCCGGCGCTGGCCCGATCGGCGCTTGCCGCAGGATCCTCAGCACATCCTCTCCGGAGCGCCGCATGGGCCAACAGGACGTTAGAGAGGCGCGAACAGGAAATACGGCGGGTGCGCTTCTTAGGGAATAACCTGGTTAAGCTCAAAAAAAGAAAACGCGGGGCGCTCGGGCATGGTGCACGCGGGCGAGCTAAGCAGCGAGCCAGCGCCGCTGCTCGGCCAGCGCGTCGTGCTCGGCGGCCTCTCTTCCCGTCCCGAGCTGAACGGGCAGCGGGGCGTGGCGGGAAGCTTCGAGGGCGGGCGGTACGCGGTGGCGCTCGAGGGAGGCGGCGAGAGCGTGCGGGTGCGGCCGAGTAATCTGTCGCCGGCTGCGGCGGAGCGGGCGTCGAGCGGTGTCGTGGCAGCCCCCGATGCGGTCATCGCAGCGGCTGAGCATGGCGAGGAGTCGGCGGTGCTGGCGTGGCTCGAGGGCGGCGGGCAGGCCGACGCGACGTACGAGAGAGACGGCTTGAGCGGCCTCACGCTGCTGATGGGCGCCGCCAACAACGGCCACGAGCGGGTGGTCGACCTGTTGTTGCAGCGCGGCGCTGAGATCAGCCTGCAGAACAGCGACGGCGAAATCGCGCTGACGCTAGCCGCCGGCCAAGGCCACGAGCGGGTGGTCGAGCTGCTGCTGCGGCGCGGCGCGGAGGTCGACCTGCATGACAGCGCCGGTGGCACCGCGCTGATGCGCCGCCCACCAAGGCCACGAGCGGGTGGTCGAGCTGCTGTTGCGGCACGGCGCAGAGATCAACAAGCAGAACAGCTTCGGCGGCACCGTGCTGATGGTCGCCGCCAGCAGCGGCCACGAGCGGGTGGTCGAGCTGCTATTGCAGCGCGGCGCGGAGGTCATCAAGCAGAACAACAGCGGCTTCGCCGCGCTGATGTTCGCCGCCCGCAATGGCCACGAGCGGGTGGTCGAGTTGCTGATGCGGCGCGGCGCTGATGTCAACTTGCTGGGCAGCGGCGGCTGCACTGCGCTGATGTATGCCGCCCAGGAAGGCCGCGAGCGGGTGGTCGAGCTGCTGCTGCGGCACGGCGCGGAGCTCAACCGGCAAGACAGCAACGGCGGCACCGCGCTGGTGATCGCCGCTCTCTTGAACCGCCCCGCCGTCGTGCGGCGCTTGCTGCGGGCGGGCGCAGACACCGCGGCGCGCAGTGCGAGCGGCAAAACGGCGCTGCAGTGGGCCAAGGAGAAGGGCCACGCCGAGTGCGTCGAGGCCTTCAAGAAGCACGTCCAGGAGGTGTTGGCGGGACGGCCCACGGCGACGGCAGCCGGTGGCGACGGCGCAGGCGGCGCTTCCTCCGGCGGCGCTTCCTCGGCTGGATCGAGAGTCGCGAAGACGCTATCTCCAGCGGTGGCGGCGGGGCGGGCGCCGAGCGGTGTCGTGGCAGTCTCCGATGCGGTCGTGGCAGCGGCTGAGCGAGGCGAGGAGGAGGCGGTGCTGGCCTGGCTCGACAGTGGCGGGCGGGCCGACGCGACGTACGAGAGAGACGGCGTGAGCGGCATCACGCTGCTGATGGGCGCCGCCGGCCACGAGCGGTTGGTCGACTTGCTGATCCGGCACGGCGCAGAGGTTAACCTGCAGAGCAGCAACGGCTTGACCGCGCTGATGCTCGCCGCCCAGGAAGGCTACGAGCGAGTGGTCGTGCTGCTGATACGGCACGGCGCTGAGGTCAACCTGCAGGATAGCGACGGCGACACCGCGCTGATAATCGCCGCCGACAAAGGCCACGAGCGGGTGGTCGAGCTGCTGATTCGGCACGACGCTGAGGTCAACCTGCGGAACAGCGACGGCGGCAACGCGCTGCTGGCCGCCGCCGGCAACGGCCACGAGCGGGTGGTCGACTTGCTGATACGGCGCGGCGCTGAGATCAACTTGCAGAACAGCAAAGGCGGCACCGCGCTGATGTACGCCGCCCGCAGCGGCCACGAGCGGGTGGTCGAGCTGCTGCTGCAGCACGGCGCGGAGATCAACCTGCAGGACGGCAACGGCGACGGCTTCACTGCGCTGATGATCGCCGCCTTCTTCAACCGCCCCGCCGTCGTGCGGCGCTTGCTGCGGGCGGGCGCAGACACGGCGGCGCGCACCGATAAGGGCAAGACGGCGCTGCAGTGGGCCAGGGAGCAAGGCCACGCCGAGTGCGTGCGCGCCCTCGAGGAGCACTCGTCGACCGCAGCAGAGGCGGGGGGGGAGACGGCGGTCGCAGGATCAGTCGAGCAGGCCGCGGCGGCCGCACGCGAGGCGGCAGCGGCAGCGGAGGCGGCGGAGGCGCGCGATGCTGCCGAGGCTGCGCTGCGCGAGGCGGTTGAGGCGTGCGAGCGAGGCGACGCCGATCTCGAGGCGCTCAGGGCGGCGATCAACGCAAACACCACCCAGGCCGCCGACGGCTCGGAGGCGCTGCGGGCGGCGCGGCGGCTGCGCGACGAGCTGGCGGAGCGAAAGACCCGCGAGGCCAGGGCGCTGAAGCGGCAGCGGCAAAAGGAGGAGAAGGCGGCGGCGGCGGCAGCGCGGGCGGCGGACCGGGCGGCGGAGCAGGCTGAGGAGGCGCGGGCGGCTGAGGAGGCGCGAGTGGCGGAGGAAGCGGATCGGGTGGTAGCAGAGGCTGCGGCGGCGCGGGCGGCGGAGGAGGCGGAGGCGGCGTCGCGCGCAAGGGAGGAGGCAGAGGCGAGGGCAAGGGAGGAGGCGGCAAGGGAGACGGAGGAGGCGAGGATGAGGGCGGAGGCGGAGGCGGAGGCGGCGGAGGCAGCGGCGGAGGCGGCGGCTGTAGAGGCGGCAGTGGCGGCCGTGGCGGCGGCGGAGGCTCAAGAGGCGGCGGCAGCGGAGGCGACGGCTGAGGCGGCGGCAGCGGCGGCAGCGGCGGTGGCAGCGGCGGCAGCGGGCGGCGAGTGTCGCCGCCCTCGCCGCCGCCGCCGCGCCGCCCGCCGCCGTCCCTCTCGACGAGCTCATCGCGGCGACCGACGGTTTTACCGAGGCGCGCAAGGTGGGCGAGGGCGGCTTTGGGCGCGTCTACCGCTGCGACGCGCTGCCGTCGCTTCCGCGCGTCGCTTGCGGGTTCGCCGTCAAGACGGCGCTGGTCGGTGTCGGCGCCCAAGGCCTCGCCGAGCTGCAGAGCGAGGTGCGCACGCTCAGCGCGGCGTGCCACCCGTCCCTGCTCCCTCTCCTCGGCGTCTGCTTGGCGCCGGCGAGAGCGTGCCTCGTCTACCCCCTCTGCCGCGGCGGCAGCCTCGAGGACCGCCTCTACCGCGCTCCAGCCGCACTGCAGCGGCTCCGCATGCTCGGCTTCGAGACGGCGCCTCCGCCGCTCTCCGCCGCCGCACGGCTCCGCATGCTACGCGACGCGGCGAGCGCGCTACACTACTTGCACACGCGCTCTCCGATGATCTTGCACCGCGACGTCTCGGCGGGCAACATCCTGCTCGACGAGCGCGGCAACGGCTACCTCTCCGACGTGGGCCTCGCGCGCGCGGCAGAGGCGACGGCTGGCAGCAACCAGCAGGTCTCGCACCTGTCGACGCAACGCATCTTTGGAAAGCCTGGCTACATGGACCCGATCATCATGCAGGACAACCAAGCTTCTCAGCTGACCGACGGCTATGCGCTCGGCATCACGCTGCTCGTCAGCCTGACCGGCCGCGGCGCCGTCGGCTTGCTCAACGCGTGCGAGGATGAATTGGAGGAGCCCGACACGGCGGAGAGCATCGCGGCGGCCGACGCGGGCTGGTCGGTGGCGCAGGCCGAGGAGCTGACGCGGCTCGTGGTCGGGCTGGCGTACGAGCGGAAGAAGAAGCGGATGCCGCTCGCAGAGGCGCTGCCGCGGCTGGAGGCGCTAGTCGAAGCGGCGGGGGAGGTGGAGGAGACGGCTGGGGCCGAGGAGCGCCTGTGTGACCTCTGCTGGGACGCGCCGCGCTCGGTCCGCTTCACGTGCGGCCACGCGCTGTACTGCGAGGCGTGTGTGCCGCGCGTGCTGGAGCGCGACGGCAACTGCCCGGCCTGCCGCCAGCCGGCGCTGCCCATCGCCGCAATTGGGCGGCTGGTGGCGGAGCAGGCGACGTTTGTCCACCAGCCGCCCTCGCGCCCCGCGCCCCAGGCTCAGCCCGTGGGCGCCACGGCGACGGTCGGTGGGCGAGGGGGGCGAGGGGGGCGTGGACGTGGCGGGCGGGGTGGGCGGGGTGCGGGGCGCGGCGGCTCTGCTTAGTTCTGGAGCACCGGTGCATGATGGCCACGAACTGCTGGGGGGGAAGGGGGGGGTCCGGCCCGAGGCTTCACCAAATGCTTGGGGGGGGGGGGGGGCACAGGGTTCACCACATGCTAGGGTCTGCCTGCTCCAAAAAAAAAATTGCGTTTTACCCTGCGAAAGACACTACTCTCCCCCTCCCGTCACTTGTCCCCCTTGGCGTGGCGCGCCTCTCTCCCCCAGCTCTCGGTATCGCGTACTGCACGAGGCTAGAGGGAGCGGACCGTGAGTTGAGGAAATCGGGGGACGCGACCCACCTCGCCACAGACGGTCCCGCGCCTCGCCGTTAAGACGGCTACACGACCGCGGCTCATGTGCGTGTAGCCGTCTTTGTCCGGAGTGAATACTCCAACGCGCTCGTCGGTGACGGTGTCCCCCGATTTCGCCGCGCTCGGCGAACCTCGACAGCGCCTTCGATGGCATGCAGCTCTTTGCGTCAGAAGCCTGGAGAGCAGCTCCTCGGCTGCTCACACGCTCTGCACAGTTGACACAGCCTACTGTGCGGCTACCACAGCTGTGCGGACAGCGATGGGCTCGCCCTCACTGGCCCTCAGTCACTTGTGCTGCGGCTTGTGTGAGCGACACTGCTCGGCGACTGCCGGCACACTGTGAGACCATGGGTGTGAGGTAAAACCACGCTACCAGCGCTTGGTCACATCGGCCCCGAGGTCAGATCCTTCTACTCTGTTAGTGACAAGACTTGTCTACTGGCTGGAGCCGAGCAGGAGGGTCCGGCGCACAACCCCTGGTCAACTCACGGTCCACACCCCGTACCGTGGGCCCCGCCTGCGCGCTGGGGTCGAGCGCTGGGGGTTCCCTGCCCTGTCGGGAAGCCTAGCTCTTAACCTGGGGTCGCTACCTAATGCGGGGCTCCTGGACGGGCGATGAAGTTCGCCTTGAATCTCTCGTCTCGCTTTCCCCCCGACTCGCGTCCGTCGGGGGTACTCCCTGCTCTGGCTCTCTGATCTCCCCTCCCCCCCCCCCCCCCTCCTTCCCTCTCCGGGATGAGATGCGCGCTGCTGTCCCTAGAGGGGGGTCGGGTGGTGAGGGAATTGATTAGAGGCATCGTGTTGTTGCGGTCGCCCACGGACGATCGCCGGAATGGGCCGAAGGACAGAGGCTTGCTTGTGTGTGGGCGCGCGGGCGCCCACTCAGGCTCGGCCTCCGTTGTCTCAGCCTTCAGTTCACCTCTCCTAGCGCCCGGTTTTGCGTGGCGACCTTCATTTCGGGGTCGAAGGTGCTACACACACTTGCCCCCTGGTGTTCTGGCACTCGGCGTTCTCCATCTGGGGTTCGGCTCTTTTTGTTTTTCTTTTTGGGACCATTATGATTTCACTAGTACAGGCCGTTTGTCTTACAGACAGTGCGCACAGTACTGCGTGCGGCATGCGCGGGCTCGACGTGAGGCAGGCGACTGTCGCGGGGTGCGGGCTGCATCGCTGTGCGGGGATTGCGCGGCGTGCATATGCACCTTGCATGTGCTCTGTGTGCTGTGTGCAGGCAGACTGGACAGCGGGCTGAACGGATGGCGGAGCGCGCGCGCAGCGTGCCACGCGCGCGCCTCGTGCAGTGCAGGATCTGCGTCGTGTCAGGCGCGTGGCGGCAGGGGCGCAGTGCGGAGCACGCGGGCTGAATGTTCAGAACAGGCAGGGCTGCATGCAGACTGCACAGCAGCCCTGCTCGGGTAACGGAGCGCGTGCTCGATGGCCTGCGCGCGCGGCGTGCCGCCGCGCAGGCGTACGTCGTGGATGTGGACTCGACTACGTTCGCCAAGTACATGCGGCAGGACGCCAGCGTGCAGTGCGACACCACGGAGCACGACTCGATCACTAATCTCGCCATCTTGTTGATCGTACTCTGGCCGCTCGGCTCCCTCGTCCTCTTCACGTCGCTCCTCGTCCCGTGCTACAAGGCGCTGCACGCCAGAACGCCTACGGACTTGTCCCGCGCCACAGCCTTCCTCCACAGAGAGTACGAGACACGCTGGTACTGGTGGGAGGCCGTCGACTTGCTGCGCAAGATTGTGCTGACTGGCGTGGTGGTCCTTATCCCGGAGGAGCGCTACTTTCTCCGCCTCGTGATGGCGACGCTAATCTGCTCGTGCTACGCCGTCGGGCTCGCCGTCGCGACACCCTACAGGCGCTACGAGGACGATATCCTCGCCGTGGCGACGAACCTCGTGCTGCTGCTCGTCTTCCTCGGCGCGAGCTGGACCAGCCTCTTCGACGCCATCGAGGAGCAAAGCCCCGGCCAGGGGAAGGCGGAGGCCATCCTCGGCTGGTGCGACCGACACCGTAAAGGCGCACTCTCGTGTGCATTTTGCACTTGAGAATTCTGCATGCCGTGAATAGGCCCGACACCGACGCCATCATCATCCCAATGACGGTTCTTGTTTGCGCCGCGCTGGCGATTTTCCTGGCCGGCGCCGTCGTCGCGGCCCGCCGCCTCGCCAAGATACCCACAATCCGGCTCGTCTCGACCAAGCAGCAGCCCGAGCTGACCCTCCACAAGGGCCAGACTTGGCACCTCTTCAACAGCCATATATGGTTCCAACAAAGCATGCGATTGTCACGCCCACTGCCTGCTGCTGGTAATTTCACTACTCATCGTTCGGATAGGTCAACCTACGATTCAGATCTATGTGGGAGGAGTGTGGCGTTCCCCACCAGACCCTCCCCCATTTCAATAGGTCCACCGGTCAAGACGCCGTCGCGGTCATCAAGAGCGAGCTGCAGCTGCTTCTGCCTAGCATCCAAGTGTTTCTCGACGTCGATGATCTCGATGACATCGGCGCTCTGGAGAGCTACATCGGCCGCTCGCAGGTGATCCTCATCTTCCTCTCGAGAGGCTACTTCAAGAGCAAGGTGCTCGTTCATGTAGCCGCTGTGTGGCCGACTGCCCTCGCCCTCACCGGCCGCCCCCTCCGCGCAGAACTGCTTGCGGGAGGTTCGCGCGGCGCTGTCCCAAGGCAAGCCAATCATCCTCGTCCAAGAAGCCGATCCGGACAAGGGCGGCGGCTCGCTCGAGGCGCTGCGATCGGAATGCCCAGAGGACCTCCAGCCAGCTATCTTCGACGCCGATTGGCCTCTCGTCGTGTGGATGCGGATCGAGGATTTCCAGCGTGTCTCCCTCAAGAGGATCGCCGAGGTGGGCTGCTGCCATTCGACCTCGTCTGCGGGTGGCTTCATGGCTGACTGGCCTGATTCCCTTGGTCCGCAGGCACTGCTGTTGCAGACGCCATTATACGCAAAGGAAAAGGCGCTCCCTCTCGTTGTGCCCGGTGAGGTGCAGGGCCAGAACCTCGGCTTCGCAACGCCAATTCTCCTCTGGGCCTCGCCTGCCAATCCGGGCGCAAATGACGTGGCCGGCGAGCTCGCCACCGCATTTACCGGGCTCGCCGTCTCGACCACGGACACGCCGGAGCGGGCAACCCACATGCTGCTCTACCTCACCCAGAACACTTGGTCGGATGAGAGGCTGGCCGAGCAGGTCACGGCGGCCCGCGCAGCAGGTCTGCCGATTGTCATGGCTCACGAGAACGACCCAAGCCTCGGTGGTTGCGCTTTTGCACGCCAATTTGAGACCACGCCGCAGGAGCTCATCGCAGGCGGCCTCTACCAAGACCTCGCCGTCGCGTGTTTTGCGGGGATTCACCGCGAGGCAGCCGAGATGTAGCTGAGAGTTCAGCTGGTACCTACCCTTTGTGAGGCCGCCGGGCTGCCTTGGGACTAGGTGTCGCGCTGTCTACTGGCAAAGGCGCTCGGTGCTAGGCCAGGCAGGGAGCAGGAGGCGTCCCTCCGCCGCAGCCTCTTCATGCGTTTCTCACGTGCAAGTCTGCCGGCCCAGCAGCAGCCTGTGGGCGACGAGGAATCGGCTCGTGGCAGGTAAGGTAAGGTAAGGTAAGGTAAACTTCTCCACACACACGAGGTGGCGGGGCAAGGGGGGGCAACCCTCGCGTCTCCACGTCTGACGACAGGAGCCCCACGGCATTCAAAGTGCAAGGCCCGGTGCGCGTGGGTGAGCGGTGTGTGTGTGTGTGTGTGTGTGTGTGTGTGTGTGTGTGTGTGTGTGTGTGTGTGTGTGTGTGTGTGTGTGTGTGTGTGTGTGTGTGTGTGTGTGTGTGTGTGTGTGTGTGTGTGTGTGTGTGTGTGTGTGTGTGTGTGTGTGTGTGTGTGTGTGTGTGTGTGTGTGTGTGTGTGTCACGTCACTGCATCCTCCGCCGGTTCCTCCCGTCGCCTCTTCTTTGTTCGAATGTTTTTCAATCCATCCTTCACGAAGCCCTCCCATGTAGCTAGCGTTCTTGGCGAATGTCTCGAAATGGCCAGCAGGCGCTGTCTGCTCGCGGTCTGTGCGGGCCGCTCGTCCTCCTCGCCCTTCTTTCGTCCTCCCGTCCCTCCCCTCCACCATGGCCTTCTCGGCACTTCTTTCTCCATCCGCCTCGCCCTGCCTTTTCGCATCGTGCCGTTCGCCCTCCATTCGGTGACCTCCATGGCTGTCCGCCCCTTTTTGGGTGGCGCTCTCGATACGGTTGCGTCAACCTCGACGTCGCTGTCGCCCTCCCCGTCCCCGCCGGCGTCCGTGCCTCGGTTCGCGTCATCGGTAGCGTCTCCGTTGTTCCCTCGTGCCCCGCCGTCGCCCTCTCTGCTCGGGCCGTTAGCGATTTCGCTCCTCCTGCGTGTCGCCCCTCCGTCCCCTCCCCTTTCTTCGTCGTCATCGTCGCTGTCGCGAAAGCCCTCCGGTCCCTCGATTCCCTCGCCTATCCCCTCCGCTGCGTCGTCCCAGTTTATATCCTCATCCTCTGCGCACGTCGCGTTGGCTTCCTCTCTCCCCCTTTCCTCCCTGCCCCTCTCGCTGTCTGGTGTTAATGGACCCCCTTCCTCTCCCCCGCCACCGTCACCGTCTCCATCCCCGTCGCTACCGCCCTCCATGCCCGCCGCCCTTTGTTTCACACTCGTCTCTGCCATGTCCGCCGTCGCCGCCGTCCTGTCTGCTGCGCTCTGTGCTCCGTGGTACAGTCGCTTATTGTTGTTCAGGATTAGCTCACGCACCAGGACAGCCTCCTGCTCGTTATTTTGGCTTGCCGATATGCATCCAAAGTTCCACGCTAGCTCCTCCTTCGTCACGTCTATCTTTTTGCAGTATCTCGCGAATGCCGTCCGCGCTTGCTGGGGTGTTATTGCGTTCGGATCCGCCCTGGTCCCCGCCCTGTATCCCATCTCCTTGCGGTGGCTCCTGTATGAGTCCCCATATGACCATGTGATTTCTTGGCCTTCCTTGACTCCCCTCTCTGCAAACAGGACCATCACCTGCGCAGCTGCCTTGCCTAATTGTATCTCCTCGTAGCGTACGAAGTGCGTCGCCCTAGGCGAGCTGACTTTGCTCGATTTTTAGCAAAACGGCCCCAGACCCTTGGGGACAAGGTAAGGTAAGGTAAGGTAGATTTCTCCACACACACAAAGTGGTGGGGCAAGGGGGGGCGACCCTCGCATCTCCACGCCCGGACACGGGCAGGAGCCCCACGGCATTCAAAGTGCAAGCACTGGCCCGGTGCACGTGGGTGAGCAGCCTGCCCCTCCCTCCCGACAAACCAACTCCCGCACACACACAATCGCACTCTGGCCATCGAATGGGGACACCTCTCGGGTGGGCTCGGGTGCACCCTGAACCTGCAGGTCCCAGTCCGATACTTTGTCGGCTCTAGACCAGAGATCGCAGATGGCACCAACACTGGCTTTTGTGAGAATGGCCAGAAGATGGCCGTTTACGGACTGCCTTGAGGAGTCAGTGAGAGGGTGGTCTCCGGCGCGGATTTCACGCTTTTTCGGGAGGTGTTAAAACGGGGAAAGTTTGAAACGCTGGGGGCTCTCACGCCCAGTCAGTCATCAGTCTTACACACCTCCGCGATCTATCGCAATATACTGTACACAAAAGCTACTACGCTTGAAGACCGTATATCTCGCAACATGCTACAAAACGATATGTGGGCTTTTGCGGTTGCGTGGAAGCCCCCAATCACACACGCGAGCCCTCGCGTTCCTGCCGAGCCTTGCCGCTCCTACTAGGGCGCTACTTGGCCACCCCCGCGGTTCGCCCACGCCCCTCAGTGCATGACTCGGCTCTCAACCTTCCGCTATCTGGGGCAATAACTGATATAGGGTCGAGTTTGGGCCAGGGTCCAGCCACGGCGCCTCGCCGCAGAACCACCACAGCCACGCGGGGCAGGTGTCGCCGAAGCCGCCGCACCAGCGCACTTGCACGAGCAGTATGGAGATGCCGACGCAGGCGCCAAAGTAGATGTAGATGTAGAGGCCGACAAAGGCGAGCCGTAGCTTGGCGGCGATGGCGGCGGAGCAGCGGTTGACGATGCTGCGGCAGGTGCACTTTCGCTCCTATGAATCGCAGTCTCGGCCACTGGCGGGGGATTGGGCCATTAGGGCCGCGGCATGGGCACGTTCGCTCCTCAAGCGGGCTCGGGTGGGCGAACGGAGGGATGTCCTTGACGAGCCGCTTGTACGCGGGGGGCAGGAAGACCTAAGGTAGGGAAGGTAGGGTAAGGTAGGGTAACCTTCCCCCCCCACACACGAGGTGTGGGGGCGGGGCCAGGCAACCCTCGCAGACTCCACGTCTGGACGAAAGGGGCCCGACGCATTAAACGTGCCAGGCACGGTGCGCGCTGGTGAACGGCGCGCGCGCGTGTGTGTGTGTGTGCGGTGTGTGTGTGTTGTGGTGTCATAGTGCGTGTCAAAGTGCTTCGGAAGTGTCTCGGAAGTGTCTCGGAAGTGTCTCGGACGTGTCTCGGAAGTGTCTCGGAAGTGTCTCGGAAGTGTCTCGGAAGTGTCGCCTTGTACGCGAGCGCCGGGATGTCGACGATGAAGACGGCGGCGAGGGTGTTGACGATCAGGTCAAAGTCGTTGCCCGAGCGCACGACAGCGCCTGATCTCGGCCACTCTCGGGTAAGCTCGCGGCGGGGCTCGCGAGAGTGCTCTCGCCGCCGGAGCGGGCGGCGCGCCAGAGACTCGCCCAAATCTCCTCCAAATCTCCCCCGTGTAGGTGCGCACGTGCGATCTCCCCCTCCTCCGCGTCTCCCACCCCTCGATGTCGCGCAGCGGGTCCACCGAGCCATCTCTCCCACATCTCTCCCCCACATCTCCTCTATATCCCCCCATCTTTCCCCCACATCTCCCCTACATCTCCCCGGCATTTCCCCCACATCTCCTCCATATCTCCACCACATCCTGCTCCACATCTCCCCCACATCTCCTCCATATCTCCACCACATCCTGCTCCACATCTCCCCCACATCTCCTCCATATCTCCACCACATCCTGCTCCACATCTCCCCCACATCTCCCCGCGCAGCTGTGCGCCAGAGCCGGCGATGATCACGATGACCGACGCCGCCAGCTTTCCGACGAGCATGAGCCAAAACGCGGTGCGCTCGACCCGGGTCACCTACGCGAAACGGGGCGCCGCGTCTTGCGTGAGTCTCACTCCGGGCCGGATGGGGCGGCCTCGCTCGATTCGAGTCACCCCCGTCAGCGGCGCTGTGATAGAGATGGTGGGCCAGCCCGCAGGGACGGCGCGCGAGATCGACTCCTCGGCAAGCGAGCCCGCCTCACCCCCCTTCGGCCCGCGCGGGCGCTCGGCGGAGTCCTCGGCAAGCGAGCCTTGTTCGAGCGAGGCTAGGTAAGGAAAGGCCAGGGGAGCATCTCCACACAAGGTGGTGGGGCAAGGGCCAAGGCAACCCCTCAAAGTGCAGGGCCCGGTGCGCGTGGGTGAGCGCGCGCGCGCGCGCGTGTGTGTGTGTGTGGGGGGGGGGGGGGGGGGGTGAGACCCCCCCCCCCCCCCCGTGTGGGCGTGTGTGTGTGTGTGTGTGTGTGTGTGTGTGTGTGTGTGTGTGTGTGTGTGTGTGTGTGTGTGTGTGTGTGTGTGTGTGTGTGTGTGTGTGTGTGTGTGTGTGTGTGTGTGTGTGTGTGTGCGTGCGTGCGCGCGAGCAGTCCTCGCACCGTGATTGAGACCAACGTTAGGGGTGGGAAGAAGGTCTTGTATCCACCGCGTGAGTACACGGGCTGCGGATACAGCGACTGCAGCGGAAGACGGCCCCCGCGTGTAGCGGAAGGAGACGCGTCCCCTCGAGCTCAAGTTGGCACCCGAGGAGGCCTGTTTCAGCTTCTAGGCAGGAGCGCCTCGCTCTGCGGGCGTGACCACCTAATCTCGCGAGTGATCTCGGGTGATCTCAGGTGATCTCGGGTGTTCTCGGACCACCTAGGCCCCGGCGTGTGGCCACCGTAAGGGCTGCCAGCGCCGCCGTCCGCAGCTGCGAGGGCGAGGGCGAGGGCGAGGGCGAGGGCGAGGGCGAGGGCGACGGCGACGGCGACGGCGACGGCGAGGTGTGAAGAGGCTCTCGGAGCAGCTCGTCGACGCTCGGCCTATAACAAAACAAGGAAACCCCATGCGACCGCAGATCGGTTTCATTTTTGTAGGCTGGTTGACGCTCGGCCGAGAGGAGCGGCTGGCGCGCGATCGGCGGCCGTAGACCGCGCTGTTCCTGCGCGCGCGCTCGACGCGCTGTTCGACCTGGTCGCGGCGCTCGAGGTGTGAGCAGGGATGGCTTCTGCAAACGAGTGAGCGCGGCCCAGAAGTGTCTCGGAGGCGTCTCGAAAGTGTCTCGAAAGTGTCTCAGAAGTGCTTCGGAGGCGTCTCGGAGGCGTCTCGGAGGCGTCTCAGAAGCGTCTCGGAGGTGTCTCGGAAGCCTTCTCGGCTGTCCGCGGAGTGAAGTCCGTCTCGACGGACGGCGAGGCGCCGCCGCCGCCCGCCGCGAGCGGCGAGGCTGGCGGCGAGGGCGGCGGCGAGGCGAGCCGGTCGAGCCCTCCGCCGCCCGAACCGACATACTCAGAGAGCCGGCCCGGTACAGAGTGCGAGTTGCGCCTCTGTTTTGCGCCAAATGAGGCCCGCCCGCTGGGGCCGCTCGCCGTCGGGGAGGGGGCGGGGCTCGGCAGCGGCGTGTCGAGCCGGCACTCGCGCGGAAGGACGCGCGAGAGGATCGCGCCGCTGAGTTCATACCGCCGATAGCGCAGCCGCCGGTGCCGCCACTCGTTGGGCAGAATCTGGAGCCACTCGTAGATCTCGAGCGTGTTGCCGGCGTCGGCCAGGGTGACGCAGACAAAGGTAAAGGTGGCGACCCAGCGCATGTACATCTGCGTCTCGGTGCAGCTGTCGCCAAGGTCGCCCGCGACGATCCACACCGCCCTGTCGAGGTAGATTGCAAACATGAGCTGCGCCGAGAGGGCGAGCAGCAGGACGAAGAGCAGCGGGAGGATGCGCGTGACGAGCTCGACGCAGGTGCCGCGCCCATCGAGCGTCATCACGATCAGCGCGGAGTAGATGCTCTCCGGCAGCACTCGCTCGACCAGCCCGGCCTCCACCTTCCGGCCGATGTTGGGCATCGTCCCGATCCGGCCGACAGGAATCAGACCCTGGACGCGGAAGCGCTCGTCGCGCCGGTCATCCGCAGCCTTCTTGCTGCGCTGCCGCTGCATCGGGCTGCTCCAAGACCGGCGGCGAAGCCGGTCGCGGCGGCGGGGCAGCAGGCCGGGGCGGCTCGCACCAAGGCGCAAGGGCGGCTCGCAATTGGTGACACGTCGAGGAAGAAATATTCCTGCGGAGCTTCTGAGCTCCCCAATGGGTGCGCTGGGTGCGCTTCTGAGCTCCCCGGCCCTGGATGTGAGGCTAATGACTGCACTCCAAGTGCTCCAAGTGCCAATCGTGGTCAGTACTGTTATGTATATGCACTCTGCCCCCTATGCATTCGCATCCTGATATGCATTCTTACCGATCCATAACCTTAGCGCCTATACATTTACGTATTTGCAAAATACGTCGCCCTCTCCCACCCTCGCGCGTCGCGGCGCGTGGAATGCATAACACAGATACATAATACATAGGCGAATGGATGCGCATTACGACCGAGTGTCACAAAACTCCTATGAATTATGTATTATGCATTTGCATTACGCACTGGGAGTCCACATCGTGTGTTATGTATTACGTATTATGTATTACGTATTGTGTATTACGCACTGCCACTGGGAGTCAACATCGTCTGTTATGTATTATGTATTACGTATTATGCGTATTATGCACTACGCACTGGGAGTCCACATCGTCTGTTGTGTATTACGTATTACGTATTATGTATTATGTATTACGCACTGGGACGTGGGAGTCCACATCGTATGTTATGTATTATGTATTATGTATTGTGTATGATGCGTCATACATTGCGCATTTCAGACAAGCACACCATGTGTGTGTGCTGGCTGCTACGTTTTATGTGCTCGCAGCGGGCACATGCACATATTATGAAAAGCCCGGAAATATATGAAACCTAACGTGTAGACCGGCGAGATGGGGCGCAGCCCCAGCGAGCTCGTTTTTAGAGCGAGCGCAGCGAGCCGATAGAATAGAAAAGGTAGGGTTAGTCTTAACCCGGTCGGTGATAAGCCCGGAAATATATGTGACAAGAAGACCCCCAGCGAGCTCCGCTGTTGCCAGTGCACATACAACCCTAGCCAACTTATGGCAGCCCTAGCGGCAGCGCGAAGTTAGGGTCTGGGCCGAGGGGGGGGGGGGGGGGTTGTTAGGGCTGCATATGCTGCGGAGCGGACTCCCCCCCAGCTCTCACACACAACCCGGCGGAGGGTTGCGGCGCTTGAATACATAATACGGATACGTAATACGTAGTACATAGCCCTCTCCGGCGGGCTTTCGGCGCTTGATACATAGTACGGATACGTAATGCGTAGTACATAGCCCTCTCCGGCGGGCTTTCGGCGCTTGATACATAATACGGATACGTAATGCGTAGTACATAGCCCTCTCCGGCGGGCTTTCGGCGCTTGATACATAATACGGATACGTAATGCGTAGTACATAGCCCTCTCTGGCGGGCTTTCGGCGCTTGATACATAATACGGATACGTAATGCGTAGTCCATAGCTCTCTCCGGCGGGCTTTCGGCGCTTGATACATAAAGCGGATACGTAATGCGTAGTACATAGCCCTCTCCGGCGGGCTTTCGGCGCTTGATACATAATACGGATACGTAATGCGTAGTCCATAGCCCTCCCACGTGCAGGCGCCGCTGAGTGATGCATAATACGGATACGTAATGCGTAGTCCATAGCCCTCCCACGTGCAGGCGCCGCTGAGTGATGCATAATACGGATACGTAATGCATAGCTCATAGCGCCAATGCGACATCGGCAGCGCTGCGCTGTTTGCTGAGACATAAAGGCGAAAACATCGTACGTATTGCATAAGACACGCTATGGACTATGCATTCGCGCGACGTCTGACCCTGCCAATGCATAGGCAGGACACACGGGTGCATATAGGGCCGGTACGTATACATAACAGTACTGACCACGTCTCCCAAGTGCTCCTCTTGACGGGCAGGAAGAAGAGGGCCCAAGGGTGGGCGACGGATAGCACCACACCCTCTCCTTAAACCCCTATGTGGTGGCGGCGTGCCGTCCTTCTATCCCTTTGCTATCTCTGTTTTCTTTTATACGTCTTTCTTTCTTTTTAAGTGAGAAAGTAGAATTTTACGAGAAAGTAGAACTGCAGAACGGCTAGCATCTTACACCGAGATTGTGGAGATGCCACGTAAAATACGTGGCCGTCCTCCGCCAAAACTCCTCCGCCACGCCCGTGCCCTCCGGCGTGGCGGGCGCGCCGCCGCGCTCCGCGGCCCCGACCACCGCGCTGCAGACCAGCAGCATCGCGTCGCGGTCGAGCTTGCCGAGCCCCACCCCGGGCGTGGACCGCTGCCCTAGCCAGAGGAGCCGCACCGGCGGCAGCCAGAGCAGCGCACGCAGCGTCGCGCGCTGCGCCTCCTCCCCGGCCGCCGGCTGCGCCCGCCGCGCGTAGTCGAGCGGCGTGCGGCCCGCGGCGTCGCGCCGCTGCACGCTGCTCCCAGCCTCGACGAGGCGCGCGCAAGCCGAAGCGCGGTGGAGCGCCGCCGCCACGTGCAGCGGCGTGAGGCCTCCGGCGCTCGCGCCGTCGGGCGCGACGCGCGATGCGGCGCCGGCGCCGAGGAGGACGCCGACGCACGCCGCCGCCGCCTCGGCCGCCTCCTCCGCAGTCGCGCCATTTCCGCCGGCCGCCGCGGCGGCGAGCAGCAGCGGAGAGAGGCGCGTAGCGGGATGCGGGCGATCGCTCGCCGCCTCGAGGCACGCCAGGACGGCGGCGTGGCCGCCAAAGGCGGCGAGCATCGACGGCGTCGCGCCACAGAGGCTGCGTGTCAGCGCGCGAGGGTCGGCGCCGCGGAGGAGCAGGACACGCACGCAGTCGAGGTGTCCGTGTGCCGCAGCCAAATGCAATGCAGTGGCGGAGCACTGCGCGTGCCACAGTGTAGGTGCGATGCACGCAATCTTGGGGCAAATGCGGAGAGGCATCCGCTGCTTGACGGTGGCCGAGATGTGGCCGTCGCGCAGGAGTCGCTCGGCCTCCGCGGCGGCGCCCGACGCGGCCGCATCGAGGAGCGCCGCAGTTAGCGCCTCGGGCGTCGCGGGCGGGCGCGAGGTCGTCGAAGCCATCGTGACTAGCTCTCTTTTTGCCGCAGCCGAACCTGCTCCCGACTCGCACGCTCCTGCATCCCCTGCCTGAAAAGGAAAGAAAAAGGCAAGCTACAGCGGGAGGACGAACAAAACCAATTTTAAGAAAAGGCATTGAAAAAAAATTTTTTCTCGCGATGTCCACCCCGCCGCGCCGCCGCTCGCGCCGCCTCGCACCCACCACCACCACCGCCGCTCCCTCGCCGAGCATGCCGCCGCCCACCCGCCTCCTCAACCTCCCCACGGAGCTCCTCGCGCGCGCCCTCTCTAACTGCGACAGCCCCGCCGACATCGCTCGCGTCGCGGCCGTCTCGCTTCTCTTTCACGCCTCGCTTGTGGTGGAGGGCATCCGCTTGTGGGCGCAAGAGCGCGGCTTCGAGCTGCCAGCGCAGCCAGAGGGCGAGGGCTGCGCCGTGCGGTGGCTGTGCTTCGCTGCGCTGCTGTGCGAGTCCAACCCGCTGGCGAGGGCGGCGGCAGGCCCATGGCACAGCCTCTTCATCGACGGCGAGGGGCGGCTCTCGTCGTGCGGCTCGGCGCCGCTTGGCGTCGGCGACTACCAAGGGCTCCTTGGCCACGGCGAGGGCGTGCTGCAGCTCAACACGCCGACCCTCCTCCCGTCGACGCTGGGCGGCGAGCGCGCCGTGAGCGTGTCAGCTGGCTATAGTCACAGCCTCGCGCCGCCGACGGCAGTGTCTGGAGCTGGGGCGATGGAGAGTACGACTGTAAGTTGGGCCACGGCGACGGGGAGGACGTGTCGCAACCGAAGAAGGTCGAGGCCTTGGCTGACCAGCGCGTCATCGTTGTGTCGGCTGGAGAGAGCCACAGCCTCGCCCTCACCGCCGACGGAGCTGTGTGGAGCTGGGGCCGTGGAGACCTCGGCCGGTTGGGCCACGGCGACCAGCAGCACCAGCTGCTGCCCAAGAAGATCGAGGCCTTTGCGGGTCAGCGCGTCGTCGCTATCTCGGCTGGAGAGCGCCACAGCATCGCCCTCACCGCCGACGGAGCAATCTGGAGCTGGGGCTGGGGATACTTTGGCGAGCCGGGGCACGGCAACCAGGAGGAGCAGCTGCTGCCCAAGCAGGTCGAGGCCTTGGCCGGGCAGCGCGCCATCGCTGTCTCGGCTGGATATCGCCACGGCATCGCCACCACCGCCGACGGCTCTGTCTGGAGCTGGGGCTATGGCGAAGATGGCCAGTTGGGCCACAGCAATGGCTACCCTGGCCAGTTGGGCCACGGCAACCAGCAGCGCCAGCCGCTGCCCAAGAAGGTCGAGGCCTTTGCTGGCCAGCGCGTCGTCGCTGTGTCGGCGGGATTCGCGCACAGCCTCGCCCTCACCGCCGACGCCGTCTTTACTTGGGGCGAGGGCTTATACGGCTGCCTAGGCCACGGTGAGGACCTGTCGAACCAGCTGCTGCCCAAGAAGGTCGAGGCGTGGTCGTCCTGATTGAGCTTTGAGGTCGCCTAGCGGTGAGATGGAGGGGACAGAGTTCGGGCTCCTACGCGTCTAGGGGATCCGCGCGCATTTCTAGACGCGGCTCCTGGTGCCTTGCGCGCTGGGGGGAGCGACTGAGGGGGGACAGGAGACATTGGCGACTCACTGAGACGGGCAAGGCCATCGGTGAGTGTGGCGCGCGCTGAACTCGCGTGTCTTCGCCCAGCCGTGTGTCTGGGCTCTCTGCGTTTCGGTGGCGCTCGCGCTAGGTGGCTGCTGCGAGCGCAGCAAAGGCGGAGCAGCGCGAGGCGGCGCCGCAGGCGAGCACGCAGGTCTGAGTCGCCGAGAGGGCTCTAGTGCGCTGTGGCTGGGCGTGGTGCGCCGGCGCCGCGCGAGGCTGCGATGCCTGCTCTGCGATGTGGATATCTCGTCCTCTGCTGTCTGCAAAGAAGAAAAACAATTCGTCGCCTCCTCCACCCCCACGTTACCCTCGCGCCGAGCACGCCGCCGCCCGCCCGCCTCCCTTTTCCCGCCTCCTCGGGCGTGCCTTCCAATATCCAAAAGATCACTCTACGGGTCTCCCATCGCAGCGGCCAGCGCGCCTCCACCGTCTCGCGTTCCGGACAGAGCTCGGACAGCAGGAGCCAGACTCGGCTCCCTGCAGTTCTTTTTCTGAGCTAGCCTTCGATGTTACGAAACAAACGCAAGGCGGACGAGGGTATGGTTACCGGCGGTATCAAAATATGCTTCTGCTTGAGCCCTCTGGGTCCTCCACATGCATACTGTACCCCAGGCGGTCACCTCTCAACGTCTCAAGCCCTCAGACAAGACAATTCTTTTGCAAGTATAGTTCTTGCAAGTATAGATCTTTTCCTGGCTTGCAAGTATAGTTCTTTTCCTGGCTTGCAAGGGACACAGGGTACAGCAACAACCCGACCCAAAGGGTCAATTCACAGCCACAACTGTGAACAGTGACTCGAAGATGTACCGCTCTCTGTGTCGTTGATTGAGTCGACTCGTCAGGCAATCATGGCACTCTCCTCGTCCGCTCGCGCGTGCCGCGCCACATTGCGCCCGACTATGCCGCCGCGAGCTGCACGCCTAGACCCCCGCGACGCCTATTGCTCACGGAATCCGCCGCACCTCCTCACCACGCGATGCGCCCTCGCTCGCCGCGCGAGCGGCTGACCCCCCTCGGCTGTACCCCCCTCGGCCTCGCACCGCCTGCCTACTCCCGCTCGCAGGTACAGCCGCTGCCATCGAGGAGGTCGCGAGACGCGTCCGCTGCTGCCCACTCCCCACCCTTGTCCCGCGCGCGACCGCCCTCCCTCTCTTCTGGCAAGAGAGCGACCCGCTCTCGCTTGCTCCAGTCCGCGCGCCGAGGACGCGAGAGAGCGTGCCGGCGGCCTCGTCTCGACGCTCACGCCGCGACGTGTTGCCCGTAGGCGCGGCTCTCTCCGGCTCGCTCTCTCTTCCCATTCAGCATGCCCCTTGAGCAGCACCATTTTTGTGCACAGCCTCATACACACCCCATGTCCATGTACCAATATACCCCCAATCATCTCCACAGTGTTTTTGACCCCTTTGTTCACAAGGGATCCCATAGACTCGTTCCTCACTTCCCGTCTTACTTTCCTCCATATAGGAACTCATTCGACCGCCTATGCTCGACAAGCTCAAACTCGAGCTCGTGCCGGCCGACGGTAATCGGCTCGCTATCAAGATCTCTGACTCCACCTCCGCCGCCGCCGCGTGCCGACAAGCAGGCGCGTGTTTGCGCGCAGTGAAACTGCGCTCCCACGAGACCTTCAAGACTTATCCTCTCGCCCTCTGGCTGTCACAGGCGCGTCGCTGGCGGGCAACACGACCGCTGTCGGAGCCAAGGCCGCCAGCATCCAGTCCAAGGGCGAGCCCGCTTCGCTCGAGGACGGCATCCAGCCCAAGGGCGAGCCCGTTTCGCTCCAGTCCGAGAGCAAGCAGCCCGCTTCGCTTGAGGACGTCGGCGTCGTGTTTGCGTCGTCGGCACGCGCTTCGCTCGACTCCTGCGCCGAGGCCTCACGGCGCCTCACGTACACCATCGCCGATCCGTCGCCGCTCTCGTCTGTCATCGACGCTGCCGGAGGCAAGGCCGACGGCATCTCGTCCGAGAGCGGGCCCGCGTCGCTCAAGGACGTCATCGGCGACGGCGGCGGAGCGTCTATGTCCCGCCGGGCGCCCGCCTTGCCTTTAGCAGCAACGTCGCTTGCAGCGGCGACATGCTCCTCTCGGTCCGGAGCAGCGGGGAAGGCGCGACGCTCGACGGCAAGAAGAGCACCAACATGTTCTCCATCACAGGCGGCTGCAGCCTCTACCTGGAGGCGCTGCACTTTGTGGACGGGTTTGGTGCTTATGGCGGTGCGGTGTACGCTAATGGCGCTGGCGACATTGCGACGAAGGACGTGTCCTTCACGGGCTGCGAGGCTAACCAAGTGCGCCGCCCCTCTCTCCCACGCACCGCTCGGCCCCGCAAGCCCTCGCCACATTGGAATGCTGTGGATGCCCCCCCTCTCGCTCTCTTTGACGCCCTCCCCGCTCATGCCTGCCCGCCCCAACTCGCGCAGCGCGGAGGAGGTATGTACGTGTGGAAAGGCGGCGACGTCTCGCTGGAGGGCGCCCGCTTCAGCGAGTGCACGGCTGGCGATGTGCGTCTCCCACGCACACGCACGCTCGCCTCCCCCGCACACGCACGCTCGCACGCCATCGCCGCGGGAGAAGAAGGCAGAGGGAGATGGGGTGGCAAACGGGGGACGCCTTCCCCAAAAGGGCCGCTCTGGGCCCTGCCCGCCCTCTCTCGCTCTCTGACGCCCTCCCCGCTTAATGCCTTCCCGCCCCAACTCGCGCAGCGCGGAGGAGGTATGTACGTGTACATCAGCGGCGACGTCGCGCTGGAGGGCGCCAGCTTCAGCGAGTGCACGGCTGGCAATGTGCGTCTAACACGCCCGCACACGCTCGCCCCCCCCGCACACGCACGCTCGCACGCCATCGCGGCGCCGGAAGCAGGAGAGGAAGGCAGAGGGACATGGTTCGGCAAACGGGGGACGCCTTCCCCAAAAGGGCCGCTCTGGGCCCTGCCCGCCCTCTCTCGCTCTCTGACGCCCTCCCCGTTCATGCCTGCCCGCCCCAACTCGCGCAGGACGGAGGGGGTATGTACGTGGAGAACAGCGGCGTGGAAGGCGACGTCTCGCTGGAAGGCGCCAGCTTCAGCGAGTGCACGGCTGGCAATGTGCGTCTCCCACGCCCGCACACGCTCGCCTCCCCCGCACACGCACGCTCGCACGCCATCACCGCAGCCAGAAGCGGGAGACGAAAGAAGAGGGACATGAGGTGGCAAAGGGGGCCACGCCTTCCCCAAAGGGCCGCTCTGGGCTTGCCCGCCCTCTCTCGCTCGCTGACGCCCTCCCCGCTCATGCCTTCCCGTCCCAACTCGCGCAGTCCGGAGGAGGTATGTCCGTGTGGAAGAGCGGCGACGTCTCGCTGGAGCGCGCCAGCTTCAGCGAGTGCACGGCTGCCTATGTGCGTCTCCCACGCCCGCACACGCTTGCTCCCCCGCACACGCACGCTCGCACGCCATTGCGGTGCCGGAAGCGGGAGAGGAAGGCAGAGGGACATGGTTCGGCAAACGGGGGACGCCTTCCCCAAAAGGGCCGCTCTGGGCCCTGCCCGCCCTCTCTCGCTCTCTCGCCCTCCCCGCTTACGCCTTCCCGCCCCAACTCGCGCAGTACGGAGGAGGTATGTACGTGGAGAACAGCGGCGTGGAAGGCGACGTCTCGCTGGAAGGCGCCAGCTTCAGCGAGTGCACGGCTGGCAATGTGCGTCTCCCTGCCGCGACAACGAGGGCGACAATGAGAGCGCCGTCGGCATTGCAAGGGAGCTCAAGACGGCGGCGAGGGAGGGGCGCGGCTCTACCACCAGCTCTACCGCCAGCGCCGAGACGGTAACGATCCGCGATGCGGAGGAGGCGCTCGAGGGAGTCAACGCGGCCCCGCTCTCCGGGCACGTAGTGTTTCTCCTCTACCTGAACGATAAGACCTTTCTGGACGCCGGCGGCGCCGTCGCGCGCCTCGTGCAAGCGGCGATGGACCGACGCATCGCCGTCGCAATGGTCCACGAGCAGGACCCTACCTGCGGCGGCGTTCCGTTCCGCAACTTTTTCCAGCAGACGCCGCAGGTGCTGCTGCAGCCGCCGTACAAGCTCTTCGACACGGTGGCGGTGCCGCTCTACCCGGCTCCGGCGCACCGCACGGTGAGCTTGCGCCTCATACTAACAAGCATGGGAGCGGTGCCGTGCGACGCGGGGCCGCTCCGGCGGCGGTGGCAGCTCCTCCGCCGCCGCATAGCGGTGGCGCGCCTCGTGCGGCGGCGCCCCGCCGAGCTGCACCAGCAGCCTGTGGTGCAGCCGTAGAGGACGTAACTTGTGGCGAACCTAGGTGTACGCCCATCTAAGAATTTTGCTGTTCGGAATTGGGAGAAGCTCGCTTAGATTTCCTGTTGCGTTACTAGATACTACGTCAGTGTACGTGTGCCTGTGATAGTATACTAGCACGCGCCAGTTCGCACCTGTGTCGAGCCTGTCTGCTGTGAGAGAGAGTTCTTTGTTTAAATACTACTGACGTAAAGCGACCGCGTCCTCCTCGCCGCCGCTCTCCTCGCCGCCGCCCTTCTCGCCGCCGCTCTCCTCGCCCTCTGTGGAGGCCGCCGCATTCGTGCTGTCGGCTGGCGTCGGCATCGCGGTCGCGCGCCGCCACTGCTCGTCGTCATACAAGCATGTGCCAGTACTGCTCGCCCTGGTAGCCGTCGTATTCGACCTCGTGCACGAGCCGGCCGTCCACGTCCTCCTCCCGCCCCGCGATGGTGGCCGGCCACCACAAGCCTTGCTCGCCCAGGATCTCGACGTGCGTTCCCGTCTCCACGATGGTGTGCCCCGCCTGCTTCGCCGTCTCGTCCACCCGCAGCCGCTCCCGCCGCTCCCTCTGGCCCTCCCTCGCCGTCGGAAGGGCGTAGTTCGGGCCGCTCTCCTCCACGTCGGCCAGCACGTCCGCGGCGCTCACCGCCTCGACGTCCGTCGCCTCCCGCTCCGCCGCCGGCTCAGTCGAGCCGCCCGCCGCCTCCAGTAGTCGGCGCTGCCGCTCGCGCTCGTGGTGTGCTGCTCGGCGCTCGACGCCGCCGCCCTCGTTCACGCACGCCGCCTGCGGTGCCATCTCGCCGCAGGGCGAAGGCCAACCGCAAATTTGCACAAACTCCGAGACAAAGCCCTTCGAACGCGCAAAGCGCCGGCTTTCGAACCTCGGCGCCCGCCCTCTTTCTGGCCGCGTCCCTCCCCTGTCCTCTCGACTGCACTCCTCTTTTACATACATAATTGCGTGCCCATGGCGACGCTTTTCCTCAGGGGGCCGTGCCGGGTGCCGCTCCTCCCCACCGTGACGCTCCTCGCCATCATCGTCACCCCTTGTGTCAGCCTCGATCGTCTCGTGCCCACGCTGGCCCGCCCCCGGGGAGGTTCGCAGCACCCTGAGGGAGGCGGCGAACCAGCTGAGCAACAAACTTTCGCACGCTCAGCACCTGGACGAGGTCACATGGACCACCAAGAACTGGCACGGGCTGCAGATGCAGCGCTTGTCTGTCGTCCTCCACACCGCCGTGGCGTGGCAGACGGTGAACGAGCTAGCGTGCGGGGAGAGCGGCATTGTGCACGGTGCGGAATGCATTGCCGTTCTTAACGGAGTCGCTTAGGCGGCTCCGGTGGTGAGCCGGTGTGTGTGCCAGTCCGCGCCAGTCCGCGCCCTTGTCGTGCCAGTGTGCTGTGAGAGAGGCTTGTATCTTAAGAATTCTTTTCGAGCCTTGCACTTTAAATGCCGTGGGGCTCCTGTCGTTAGACGTGGAGACGCGAGGGTTGCCCCCCCTTGCCCCACCACCTCGTGTGTGTGGAGAAGTTTACCTTACCTTACCTTACCTTACCTACACACAGCCAGCTGGCTGCCACACACCCTGAGTTAAAGAAAGAAAGAAAACGGACAACCCAAGGGAGGGATGGGAGGACGGTACACCCTGAGTGGGCGTACACATAACTCAGGGCCACATTCTGTCGCCCCCCCCAGCACTCCCAGGTGCCAAGAGAACAAACAAGGGCACAACAAACAACCTGAGAGAGAGAGAGAGAGAGAGACTTTCGGGGCCCAGAGATAAAACTTCTGTGATGCCATGCGTGACCTAGTAGTGTCCCCAGCTATGGGCGTGTCCACGTTGGAGCCAGGTGTGGTGTGGGCGCGAGAATAGCTCCGCCGTTCATGGAGGCAACCGATGCGAGTCGACTGGTGTGTGTCGTCGTGGTTTCGTATCAAGAATTCTCTCTCTCTCTCAACCTGAGGGGTGGCCCGTCTACCGTCTACCGGTAGACCGGGTAGACGGTAGACCGTTTGGTAGACGAGTCTACCGGTAGACCGTAATGAACCTACGACACCAGTCTACCGGTAGACTTGGTAGACCGCGGTAGACTGGTCTACCCCTTTTTCAGCCGCCGAACGGTAGACCGCCGCCGCCGGACGGTAGACCGCCTCGGCCGTTTGAATATGCAGCCTCCAGTTCTCCACTCTGGCGCCACTTTGGCAGACGAGCGCCGGCAGATGCCCTCGCGGCCTGCCGGCGAACGTCCGTCCGGCGAGAACGCGCGATGAAAGTGCGGTCTGCCGCGCGGGCGAAATCTGCCGGTGAGAGAGGCTGTTGAGCGCGGTCGCTGTGAGCTTCACCTCATGCCATTTCCGTGCGAGGCGCGCTCCGTGCCTTTTATGAGATCAAATGAACGTCTTTACACACTTATCGGGCGGAACCGCTCACTGCAGAGCGCCGCCCTCTCGCGGCTCTCGAGAGCGAGTTTTCGCCAGACAGCCACACGTCCATTATGGCGCGCGTTCTCGCCGGACGGACGTTCGCCGGCAGGCCGCGAGGGCATCTGCCGGCGCTCGTCTGCCAAAGTGGCGCCAGAGTGGAGAACTGGAGGCTGCATATTCAAACGGCCGAGGCGGTCTACCGTCCGGCGGCGGCGGTCTACCGTTCGGCGGCTGAAAAACCTAAAGTCTACCGGTAGACTGGTGTCGTAGGTTCATTACGGTCTACCGGTAGACTGCGGTAGACTCGTCTACCAAATGGTCTACCGTCTACCCCAGTCTACCCCAGTCTACCGGTAGACGGTAGACGGGCCACCCCTCAGCAAACAACAGACAAGTATGTATGTATGTAGAACAAGGTAGGTAGGTAGGTAGAAAGGTGAAGAACAGCCAGGCTCGGACTGGACACCAACGCGGTATGGGTGGACGCTGGACAGATGATGACGACACGCACGAGCGACACACAGACACAAACAAGCTCACAAGACACACAGCCAGCTGGCTGCCACACACCCTGAGTCGGCGTACACATAACTCAGGGCCACATCCTCCCTGTCGCCCCCCCCAGCACTCCACGGTGCCAAGGGCACAAACAAGGGCACAACTCAAACAACAGACGACAAGAAGTGACATGTAGAACAAGCCCGTGACGGAACGCGAAAAGAAGAAAAACTGCTGACGCGCTTGACTCAACCACGCTTGAAGGCCACCGAGCGAGCCCCGGCCCCACCCCAGGTTGGTCACGGTTGGTCACGGTTGTCCGCGCAGTTTTCTCCGATGGCAAAGGTGGTCCTCTGCAGCACGGGCATGTCCCGATCTGAGCGGGACGCGCTCGAGGCCTCCGCCGCCCTCCTCCCCGCCGTGTCGTACCGCGGCGACCTCACCTCGGCCACCACGCACCTTCTCGCACGGCGCGGCGCGAGCGAGAGCGCAAAGTCCGCGTGCGCGGCGGAGCGCGGCCTCCCGATCGTCGCGCCGGAGTGGCTGCACGACAGCGCGCGCGAGGGCGTCCTCCTTCCTCTCCTCGCCCGCTACCTTCTCCCGCGCCCGGCCGCCGCCAGCCCGGCAGACAGGCTCGGTCAGCTCGCGCCGCCGCACGCGCCGCCGCAACGGCGGCCGCTCGCCAGCCGACCCGAGCCGAACCGCGCCGCCGCAGCCGCCGGCCCGTGGTGCTCTGCCGGCAAGCCACTCTTCCGTTCGAGGGAGGACAGCGCCGCGCGCGTGCTCGTGCCGCTTTGTGCGCCGTCTGTCTGTGTAGTGGTGCCGTTCTCTGTCGAGTAGGGGGGGGCGAGCTCGCCACCGCACGCAAACGGCGTGGTCGCGCTGCTGTCGAGGGCGGCGGCCGAGGGCTGCCTCGAGCGGCAGGCGCTGCTCGCTGCGCTGCGCTCTCCGACCGGCTCGGATGTCGTTCTCTGCGGCAAGGCGCGCGCGCACCGGCGAGTACTCTCTCTCTCTCTCTCTCTCTCTCTCTCTCTCTCTCTCTCTCTCTCTCTCTCTCTCTCTCTCTCTCTCTCTCTCTC